GCAACTAAAATAATGTCCAGTATAGGGCTGAACCCATTAAGTCGACTGTTCAATTGTTTGGTCGATAGCCTGTTGGTCGACCAAGATTTATTTAGTCTAGCAGTAGCCAAAAAATATATATTCATTTTTCCTATTTTGTTAAAATTGATTTTTTTTGGGGGGGGGGGGTTGTATCATTTGAATTACACAACATGCCTACCACTTTGAAGATGCAAAATATATTTTTTGGTGAAACAAACAAGAAATATGACCAAAAAAAAACAGAAAACTTGAGCGTGCATAACTATTCACACCCACAAAGTCAATACTTTGTAGAGCCACCTTTTGCAGCATATACAACTGCAAGTCTCATGGGGTATGTCTCTATAAGCTTGGCACATCTAGCCACTGGGATTTTTGCCCATTCTTCAAGGCAAAACTGATCCAGCTCCTTCAAGTTGGATGGGTTCTGCTGGTGTACAGCAATCTTTAAGTCATACCACAGATTCTCAATTGGATTGAGGTCTGGGCTTTGACTAGGCCATTCCAAGACATTTAAATGTTTCCCCTTAAACCACTTGAGTGTTGCTTTAGCAGTATGCTTAGGGTCATTGTCCTGCTGGAAGGTGAACCTCCGTCCCAGTATTTAGCTCCATCATTCCTTCAATTCTGACCAGTTTCCCAGTCCCTGCCGATGAAAAACATCCCCACAGCATGATGCTGTCAGCACCATGCTTCACTGTGGGGATGGTGTTCTCGGAGTGATGAGAGGTGTTGGTTTTGCGCCAGACATAGTGTTTTCCTTGATGGCCAAAAAGCTCAATTTTAGTCTCATCTGACCAGAGTACCTTCTTCCATATGTTTGGGGAGTCTCCCACATGCCTTTTGGCGAACACCAAACGTGTTTGCTTATTTTTTTCTTCAAGCAATGCCTTTTTTTCTGGCCACTGTTCCGTAAAGCCCAGCTCTGTGGAGTGTATGGCTTAAAGTGGTCCAATCTCAGATACTCCAATCTCCGCTGTGGAGCTTTGCAGCTCCTTCAGGGTTATCTTTTGTCTCTTTGTTGCCTCTCTGATTAATGCCCTCCTTGCCTGGTCCGTGAGTTTTGGTGGGCGGCCCTCTCTTGGCAGGTTTGTTGTGGTGCCATATTCTTTCCATTTTTTAACAATGGATTTAATGGTGCTCCGTGGGATGTTCAAAGTTTCTGATATTTTTTTATAACCCAACCCTGATCTGTACTTCTCCACAACTTTGTCCCTGACCTGTTTGGAGAGCTCTTGGTCTTCATGGTGCCGCTTTCTTGGTGGTGCCCCTTGCTTAGTGGTGTTGCAGACTCTGGGGCCTTCCACACAGGTGGACTTTATTTAACTAAATATGTGACTTCTGGAGGTAATTGGTTGCACCAGATCTTATTTAGGGGCTTCATAGCAAAGGGGGTAAATACATATGCACACACAACTTTTCTGTTATTTATTTATTTGAATTTTTTGAAACAAGTTATTTTTTTCATTTCACTTCACAAATTTGGACTATTTTGTGTATGTCCATTACATGAAATCCAAATAAAAATCCATTTAAATTACAGGTTGTAATGCAACAAAATAGGAAAAACGCCAAGGGGGATGAATACTTTTGCAAGGCACTGTACCAGTCAAAGGTTTGGACACACCTATTCATTCAAGGGTTTTTCTTTATTTTTACTATTTTTTACATTATAGAATAATAGTGAAGACATCAAAAATATGAAATAACACATATGGAATCATGTAGTAACCAAAAAAGTGTTAAATAAATAAAAATATATTCTATATTTAAGATTCTTCAAATAGCCACCCTTTGCCTTGATGACAGCTTTGCACACTCTTGGCATTCTCTCAACCAGCCTCATGAGGTAGTCACCTGGAATGCATTTCAATTAACAGGTGTGCCTTCTTAAAAGTTAATTTGTGGAATGTCTTTCCTTCTTAATGCGTTTGAGCCAATCAGTTGTGTTGTGACAAGGTAGGGGTGGTATTCAGAAGATAGCCCTATTTGGTAAAAGACCAAGTCCATATTATGGCAAGAACAGCTCAAATAAGCAAAGAGAAATGACAGTCCATCATTACTTTAAGACATGAAGGTCAGTCAATACGGAACATTTCAAAAACTTTGAAAGTTTCTTCAAGTGCAGTCGCAAAAACCATCAAGTGTTATGATGAAACTGTTTCTCATGAGGATCGCCACAGGAATGGAAGACCCAGAGTTACTTCTGCTGTAGAGGATAAGTTCATTAGAGTTACCAGCCTCAGAAATTGCAGCCCAAATAAATGCTTCACAGAGTTCAAGTCACAGACACATCTCAACATCAACTGTTCAGAGGGGACTGTGTGAATCAGGCCTTCATGGTCGAATTGCTGCAAAGAAACCACTACTAAAGGACACCAATAAGAAGAAGAGACCTGCTTGGGCCAAGAAACACGAGCAATGGACATTAGACCTGTCAACATTTTTCCTTTGGTCTGGAGTCCAAATTTGAGATTTTTGGTTCTAACCGCTGTGTCTTTGTGAATGCGGTGTGGGTGAACGGATGATCTCCGCCTGTGTAGTTCCCACCGTAAAGCATGGAGGAGGAGGTGTTAAATCACACTGTCTGTGATTTATTTAGAATTCAAGGCACACTTAACCAGCATGGCTACTACAGCATTCTGCAGCGATACGCCATCCCATCTGGTTTGGGCTTAGTGGGATTATCATTTTTCAACAGGACAATGATCCAACACACCTCCAGGCTGTGTAAGGGCTATTTGACCAAGAAGGAGAGTGATGGAGTGCTGCATCAGATGACCTGGCCTCCACAATCACCCGACCTAAACCCAATTGAGATGGTTTGGGATGAGTCGGACGGCAGAGTGAAGGAAAAGCAGCCATCAAGTGCTCAGCATATGTGGGAACTCCTTCAAGACTGTTGGAAAAGCATTCCAGGTGAAGCTGGTTGAGAGAATGCCAAGAATGTGCAAAGCTGTCATCAAGGCAAAGGGTGGCTACTTTGAATAATCTTAAATCTAAAATGTATTCTGATTTGTTTAACACTTTTTTGGTTACTACATGATTCCATATGTGTTATTTCATAGTTTTGATATCTTCACTATTATTCTACAATGTAGAAAATAGTAGAAAAAATAAAAAATAATAATAATAATAATAAATGAGTAGGTGTGTCAACTTTTGACAAAGCGAAAAATAGGATTTTAGAAGATTTTGCAAATGTTAGGAAATTTATATATTTTTTTAAACAGAAGTACCTTATTTACATAAGTATTTAGACCCTTTGCTATGATACTCGAAATTGAGCTCAGGTGCATCCTGTTTCCATTTATCAAATTGTTATAACCAATTTATTGATGTGATTATGATCTGCTATAGGTCAGCCCTATTGGTCACATGCGTGCGATGCATACATGTGTCACGTAAAGAGAGCAAGGTTTGAGGGATTAGGGAATGTTTTTCCTAAACAATTGAGGGATTTCAGTAACATAACTTATCAGTCAGAAAAGTCACACAGTCACTCATTGTCTTTTTTTTTTTTAACACAGCGCATAGTCCGGCCCGGCACAATCAAATCAATTGCTGGTCGGACTCCCTCAAGTGTTTTAGTTATTTAATCAAACAGTGTGCTTAAAGCATCAGACTAGCTCAGTGAATATAGTTGATTTGATTAAAACACTGCCCTTATGTCAGTCATCTGTCAAAAAGAGGGTTTCTTGGCATCAATGTGTGCGCAATTACAATGATAATTCAATATGGTCAATTTCAGAAATTTTTATATAACATAAAAATACTGTTTACAAGTAGGCTATGGTGTAATGAAATATGTTGCCTTGTGTGGTAGATTTTGTGGGTTTTGACACTCTTATTTAGGTGTCATAACCAGCCATAAAATAACACAATATATGTCACAACAGGTCTAAATATATGTCATGACAGTGTTATGACCATATTATGACAGGTTATGACATGTTATGTCAGCTGTTATGGAATATTATGACATGGTGATGACTGTCAATGAGTTATGATGGTAGGTGTCAAGAAAAGTGTTACCAAATGTTACAATGTATAATGTAATGGCCTCCGTTAGATACAAGCAAATTTATTTTCGGGTTTCTATTAAAGCTGCAATATGTAACTTTTGGACGACCTGACCAAATTCACATAGAAATATTAATTATAGATCTGTCATTCTCATTGAAAGCAAGTCTGAGAAGCAGAAGATCTGTTCTATGTGCGCTATTTCTATGCTTCCCGTTCTTAAGTTTCGTTTTTATATCTTTTACTTTTGGTTCTGTACCCCAGCTTAAAACAGCTGAAAATACAATATTTGTTGTTATTGAAAATATATTAAACAGCGGTTTAGATGGTACAATGATTCTTCTTTTGTCACATAAACTGAAATTAGGCGAACTAGTCTAATTTTAGCAACCAGGAAATGGCGGAGCAATTTCTGCATATTCACCTTTAATGTCTGTTCTCCCCTGCTATTTTAGCTTAACAGCGCTGTCAGTCTGCCATACTGTGAGGGAGTGTTTAAAAAGCACAGCACAGACGGCCACCGCTGTGTCGTCCCTACCAGTCGACTTTGTGTTGTTAGCTTTAGCATTAGTTCTTATGCGATGGTGGTTGCTGCACAGCCATTTTGAGGTACCAGCCCAGAATCAGGTCAGTTGAATACAGCTGAGCTGAGTATCACCTGGGTTCAACCTGACTTCTATCAGGTTTGATACAGGCATTAATTTATGAATAGTGTCAGCCTAGTTACGGTAGATCTTATGTCAAGTTCAAATTAGGATTCAGTGTTGTATTGGCTTTGCACTCTGTGCTTCACTCTTGAGGCACAGATCTTGGCAGAGAGAGTGCCAGAGTGTTTTGTGAAGAGAAAAGTTCCAAACACGGTACATTCTAAATCTCATCTGTGTCACCCGCTTTAGCTGATGCAGAAAGATTAAATGTATTAGGCTGCATCTCAGGAAGCTAATATGCATTGATTTATGGCATTACACTTCCTGAGCGTGCGGTCTGTGAAAGATGAAAAAGAGAGAACACTAGGATACCTCGGTCAGGTGGCTTTAATTTGTCTTGAGTGAAAATCGAGGCTTTAGGTGCCATTATGAAATATCATCAACTCGCCAGACCCCTGAGGAATTACCACTGAGGTATAAAAGAACCGGAGACTGCGTCTAAAATGTTGTTTTCAACGTAATCTACTCACGTTCGCATACGCCGATTCACAGTAAATACGGGTTGCATCCGGTTTACACGGCTCAACATCACATGCACTAGCACTCAGTATGCACAGGGAGCAGCGACGACATCATCACATCATCCAAAAACATGGCAGACATTGGATGAATATAAAATGTTAATATCTTTGGCTGTGAGTGATGGAAGAAATCGGCCTCACCAACAATTATTTGAATAATTCAATGGATGTTTTGTGCACAAAGGTGATGACTCAAGTGTATTATTAGGACTTTTTCTAATCTGACTTCTATATGTGGCTGTCTATGGAAGTTAAACTGCAGTACCGAATCAAGACCGGAACGCTGGACCCTTGGTAATTGTGAGTCAGAAACACGTTTGCGAGAGGCATATAATTCATGGTCTTCATGGTCTTTTTTTTAATAATGCCAGGCCCTAGTTGTCATATTTAGTTAGAGAATCTGCCTATACGATAACAAGGTTTTTCAATAAGTGGATATGACAGCACTTGTGGTTGCCATGGCTACAGGTTGTTCCACCACATTTCATTATGTTACCCGCATAACCCTACAACCATCCCAACCTCCATAACAATCCCACTAAAGCCGGTGGGAGCTGCCTACTGCATTAGTAATGCTGGGACCTTGCCAAGTCTCTGACAATTTACACATCTAGAGGTCCAAAAATAAATGCTACTGTGGTCTATAAGCCTACAATGTGGGAATTGGTGAGAAAGTTTCCATTTGTCTGCACCAGTTTGTTTTAGTGACTGTGCTTTTACTGAAATGTGCCTGCAAATAATAAAATGCTTGTTTGTCAACTGAATCCAATTAACGGCATAGATGCAGCATCATATGGAAAAGTGAAGGGTGGGAAATGGCTCATCTCAGGTTGATCAGCAGCAGATGTTCAGTCAAGCTGTTGATGCATTAAAGTGTGTCTTGCCTTGCCTGTCTGTGCTTTGCCCCTGTGTCATCCTGTCATAGTCATTCTCCCCTTAGGCACAACTGTTCTAGGACCTGCTCTGTGTAAAGTGTATTGAGACTATGTAAGAAATTACTTGAACTGTTCTGAGACCTGCTCTCTCTGTGTTTTTCTCTTCCAGCCTCACTGCAGGTGGAGATCACCCCGATGCAAGGCGAGATCAGTATGGGGGAGTCAAAATTCTTCCTCTGCGAAGGTAGGTGTGGTACAGCTACCATCGCCTCCACAACAGCAAACCCCAACTTAGCTACTGTATTTGGACAGCTTAATAAAGAAGAGGATTACAAATAAAGTGCAGGTGCTACAGCAGTTCTCATGGCTGCAGTAGCATGGGGTTCCCGGGATGCTAACCTGCAACTGTGGTCAGTTACCCCCACCCCCCCCCCCCCCCCACCCCCACCCCCACTCCCCCACTACTGGCAGACTGCTGCAGGTCAGCGTCCTGTTGTTGAATAGCAAAGACAGAAGAGAGGCTCAATATGTCATGGAAGGAAGATGAAAACATCTCACTTTAATGATGTTTCCTTTGAATGAAAAGCACTGTAGCTAGATGTGTACTTCCTTTGCAGTAAAAAGTCAGCAAAATACTGTTTCTCTCAACACTTCTTTATTCCATTATGAATGAGGAGGGAGTGAAAGATTCCAGGAAACGTGCGAGTCCTTGAAGCAGGTAGCCCTAGGGAATGCTGGTCTAGTATTAATCTATTTGTACCAAAAATATGTTGCTCAGTCTAGTTTGTCAGGATATTCACTTCTTTGTTGAAAGTGATAAGGGTGAGATGTTGTGACATAATGCCTACATTATATACTTTTAGGTTTTATCTTATGTTCATGACAGATTTTCATCTTGCAGAGTTGACTTAAACAGTATTAGGATGGATGTTATTTTGCTATGTAGAGAAACCTGTTAACCTTAAAAAAGCTATAATGCATACCTCAGACACAGCATCATCTCGCAAGGCAGCACATATTTCTCTGTTATCATTCATCTAAACTGCTGTAGACACATAAATAGTGCATTCGCATTCTGTGCTCACAATTCCACCCTGCCTCTATTCGTCTCTCAGTTGTCGGAGATGTAAAGGACATTGATTGGTATGCCCCGAACGGCGAGAAGCTCCTACCGAACAGACAGGACATCCTCGTGAACCGCAACGACGAGTCCTCGTCCACTCTCACTATCTATAACGCCAACGTGGACAATGCCGGCATCTACAAGTGTGTGGCCAAAAATGGAGACAAGGAGTCTCAGGGCACCGTCAATGTGAAAATCTTCCGTAAGTTCCCTTTCAAACTGCTTGAAACAAGGTCATATTCTTCATTGTACTTTAGCGGATTACCACTAAATGAAATCCCCTCACTGTATTATCTGTACGTATTTGTGGAGTGCACAATGTAATTTTGAAGAATGTAATTTAAAAGTGTCTGCATATGCTGTTCATATTTGTTTACTTCAATTGTATTCCCACATTATTTATTTACCTTTATTTAATCAGGGAGTCACCATTGAGACCAGTGTCTCTTTTACGAGGGAGCCCTGCATATACAATTGCATAAAATACATAAAAAATGTAATACAATATAAAACAAATAAAATACCACACAACACATATTGCACAGACAAAGATAAATATACACAATATACAGAAAACACATTCAACTAAAACAAACACATTCTTCAGAGGTGGTCCTCTGTAGCTCAGCTGGTAGAGCATGGCGATTGTAACGCCAAGGTAGTGGGTTCGATCCCCGGAACCACCCATACACAAAAAAAAAAAATGTATGCAAGCATGACTGTAAGTCGCTTTGGATAAAAGCGTCTGCTAAATGGCATATAAAAAAATTAAAAAATAAAAAAATTATAAAAATCCTCTGTCTGCTGCCTGAACTGCCCTAGGGACACTAAAGCATCTATTCGAAATGTATTGTGGAGCAAGAAAACTAAAGGCTGACTTACCTAACTCTGTAAACACCAAAAGAGTCTCCAGAGTTAACCAACCCTGTGAACGGGTTTGATAATTTGTTAAATCTTAACAGTGAAGTTAGGCAAGTCGGAAGCATGTGGAGCAGGGCTTTGTAAACAAAAAGAGCGTAATGATGTGATCTATGTGACTTCAAAGAGGTTCAGCCAACCTTTTGGTAAAGAATACAGTAATGAGTAATAAAACTGTCTCCTATGATAAAACGAAGGCCGCTATGAAAAACAGCATCCAGGAATTTAAGAGTAGAGGCAACTGCACTTTAATAAAATAGTATCACCATAATCAAGAACAGGCAGAAATGTTGACTGCACAATCTGCTTCCTACTGACTAGAGAGAGACAAGATCTGTTTCTGTAAAAAAAGCCCACTTTAAATCTTCGTTTCTTAACAAGCTCATTCATATATTTTTAAACGATAAATCATTGTCAATCCAAATACCAAAGTATTTGTATGCAGGGACTCGTTTGATTATTGAACCATCCAATGAGTGAAGATGTATTCTATCTGAGACAATCTTACGAGAACTTGAAAACAAAATGTATTTAGTTTTGCCTGTATTAAGCACAAGTTTTAAATCAGTAAGGGCATCCTGCACAACTGAAAAATCGGACTGTAGCCTTGTCACAGCCAGGTCAGCAGTCGGGGCAATTGTGTGCATAATAGTATCATCTGCATCTAGATTTTTGTTATTATTTTTTGTACAGATTATAAATGGTGAAAAGAACAGGTCGTAGTATCAACCCCTGCAGATCACCTTGATGTACTTCAAAACATTTGGCCTTAACCCCATCAATCACGATGGCCTGAGTTCTGTCACTAAGATAATCATGAAACAAAGAGCAGGCGTCAGAGCCCAGGCCAATCGAGGACAACTTGTTTAATAAAATAGCATGATCAACAGTATCAAATGCTTTTGACAGGTCAACAAACAAGGCAGCACAATTCATTTTAGCGTCTAAAACTTAGAGATAGAAGGGTTAGACGCTCTTTCAAAAAGATAGCCTGCTGAAATAAAATGATGATTAAATGCATCAATGATGGCATTTTTGTCTGTAATTTGGCCAGGGTGAATTAATTTGTTGGGGCAGAGAGGAGGAAGTGCAACCCTTTAGAGATTTGACAGTTTTTCAGAATTTGACAGTTTCCCTTACAATTTTTCTTGATCAGTCTTACACATTGATTCCTCAATTGCATGAAAGATTGCCAATCTGGGCCTAAGCATGTGTTCCTGGCCTTTACCCAGGCAACATTTCTCTCATGAATTACTTTGGATAATTCAGGAAGGAACCATGCATTCGATCTACCTTTAACTCTGAGTTTTGAAGGGGGCATGATTATCTATACAGTGAAGGAAAAAAGTATTTGATCCCCTGCTGATTTTGTACGTTTGCCCACTGACAAATAAATGATCAATCTATAATTTTAATGGTAGGTTTATTTGAACAGTGAGAGACATAATAACAACAACAAAATCCAGAAAAACGCATGTCAAAAATGTTATAAATTGATTTGCATTTTAATGAGGGAAATAAGTATTTGACCCCCTCTCAATCAAAAAGATTTCTGGCTCCCAGGTGTCTTTTATACAGGTAACGAGCTGAGATTAGGAGCACACTCTTAAAGGGAGTGCTCCTAATCTCAGCTTGTTACCTGTATAAAAGACACCTGTCCACAGAAGCAATCAATCAATCAGATTCCAAACTCTCCACCATGGCCAAGACCAAAGAGCTCTCCAAGGATGTCAGGGTCAAGATTGTAGACCTACACAAGGCTGGAATGGGCTACAAGACCATCGCCAAGCAGCTTGGTGAGAAGGTGACAACAGTTGGTGCGATTATTCGCAAATGGAAGAAACAAAAAATAACTGTCAATCTCCCTCGGCCTTGGGCTCCATGCAAGATCTCACCTCGTGAAGTTGCAATGATCATGAGAACGGTGAAGAATCAGCCCAGAACTACACGGGAGGATCTTGTCAATGATCTCAAGGCAGCTGGGACCATAGTCACCAAGAAAACAATTGGTAACACACTATGCCGTGAAGGACTGAAATCCTGCAGCGCCCGCAAGGTCCCCCTGCTCAAGAAAGCACATATACAGGGCCGTCTGAAGTTTGCCAATGAACATCTGATTGATTCAGAGGAGAACTGGGTGAAAGTGTTGTGGTCAGATGAGACCAAAATCGAGCTCTTTGGCATCAACTCAACTCGCTGTGTTTGAAGGAGGAGGAATGCTGCCTATGACCCCAAGAACACCATCCCCACCGTCAAACATGGAGGTGGAAACATTATGCTTTGGGGGTGTTTTTCTGCTAAGGGGACAGGACAACTTCACCGCATCAAAGGGTCGATGGACAGGGCAATGTACCGTCAAATCTTGGGTGAGAACCTCCTTCCCTCAGCCAGGGCATTGAAAATGGGTCGTGGATGGGTATTCCAGCATGACAATGACCCAAAATACACGGCCAAGGCAACAAAGGAGTGGCTCAAGAAGAAGCACATTAAGGTCCTGGAGTGGCCTAGCCAGTCTCCAGACCTTAATCCCATAGAAAATCTGTGGAGGGAGCTGAAGGTTCGAGTTGCCAAATGTCAGCCTCGAAACCTTAATGACTTGGAGAAGATCTGCAAAGAGGAGTGGAACAAAATCCCTACTGAGATGTGTGCAAACCTGGTGGCCAACTACAAGAAACGTCTGACCTCTGTGATTGCCATCAAGGGTTTTGCCACCAAGTACTGTCATGTTTTGCAGTGGGGTCAAATACTTATTTCCCTCATTAAAATGCAAATCAATGTATAACATTTTTTACATGCGTTTTTCTGGATTTTTTTTTGTTATTCTGTCTCTCACTGTACAAATAAACCTACCATTAAAATTATAGACTGATCATTTCTTTGTCATTGGGCAAACGTACAAAATCAGCAGGGAATAAAATACTTTTTTCCCTCACTGTAATAGTAATGAACACATTTGCAAAAATGCTTAAAGCTAAATCAGGTTCAGGTATAGCTGAGATACAAGGTCAAGGTCATTAAAATAAAGATAATGTAAAAAAAGCTTGTTCACTAAAGTTTTTAAAGTTCCTCTTGGTGATGACATAAGGCTTAGATTTATGCATTTTCACATCTCTGACACAGACAACTGGGCAATGGTCACTAAAATACAGTGGGAAAACCTCACTAGCAACATATTTATCTGGAGTATTTGTCAAAATAGATCAATCAGGGTAGATTTCAATGGATCTTTAGGATTCGGACGTGTAGGCTCAGTTATCAGCTGAGACAGGCTAAGCTCAGAGCAAATATCTTTCAGCGTATCTGACCCTGGTGTCTTCTAATCAATATTAAAATCGCCCATAATTAATAGTTCAGATTTACTACACTTAGATACAATTGAAGTCGGAAGTTTACATACACTTAGGTTGGAGTCATTAAAACTCGTTTTTCAACCACTCCACAAATGTCTTGTTAACAAACTATGGTTTTGGGAAGTCGGTTAGGACATCTACTTTGTGCATGACACAAATAACAAGTAATTTTTCCAACAATTGTTTACAGACAGATTATTTCACTTATAATTCACTGTATCACAATTCCAGTGGGTAAGAAGTTTACATACACTAAGTTGACTGTGCCTTTAAACAGCTTGGAAAATCCCAGAAAATGTCATGCTTTAGAAGCTTCTGATACGCTAATTGACATAATTTGAGTCAATTGGTGGTGTGCCTGTGGATGTAGTTCAAGGCCTACCTTCAAACTCAGTGCCTCTTTGCTTGACATCTTGGGAAAATCAAAAGAAATCAGCCAAGACCTCAAAAAAAATGGTACAAGTCTGGTTCATCCTTGGGAGCAATTTCCAAACGCCTGAAGATACCACGTTCATCTGTACAAACAATAGTACGCAAGTATAAACACCATGGGACCACGCAGCCGTCATACTGCTCAGGAAGGAGACGCGTTCTGTCTCCTGGAAATGAACGTACTTTGGTGCGAAAAGTGTAAATCAATCCCAGAACAACAGCAAAGGACCTTGTGAAGATGCTGGAGGAAACAAGTACAAAAGTATCTATATCCACAGTAAAACGAGTCCTATATCGACTTAACCTGAAAGGCCGCTCAGCAAGGAAGAATCCACTGCTCCAAAACCGCCATAAAAAAACCAGACTACGGTTTGCAACTGCACATGGGGACAAAGATCGTACTTTTTGAAGAAATGTCCTCTGGTCTGATGAAACAAAAATAGAACTGTTTGGCCATAATGACCATCGTTATGTTTGGAGGAAAAAGGGTGTTGCTTGCAAGCCGAAGAACACCATCCCAACCGTGAAGCACGGGGGTGGCAGCATCATGCTGTGGGGGTGCTTTGCTGCAGGAGGGACTGGTGCACTTCACAAAATAGATGGCATCATGAGGAAGGAAATGTATGTGGATATATTGAAGCAACATCTCAAGACATCAGTCAGGAAGTTAAAGCTTGGTCGCAAATGGGTCTTCCAAATGGACAATGACCCCAAGCATACTTCCAAAGTTGTGGCAAAATTGCTTAAGGACAACAAAGTCAAGGTATTGGAGTGGCCATCACAAAGCCCTGACCTCAATCCTATAGAACATTTGTGGTCAGAACTGAAAAAGCGTGTGCGAGCAAGGAGGCCTACAAACCTGACTCAGTTACACCAGCTCTGTCAGGAGGAATGGGCCAAAATTCACCCAACTTATTGTGGGAAGCTTGTGGAAGGCTTCCCAAAACATTTGACCCAAGTTAAACAATTTAAAGGCAATGCTACCAAATACTAATTGAGTGTATGTAAACTTCTGACCCACTGGGAATGTGATGAAATAAATAAAAGCTGAAATAAATAATTCTCTCTACTGTTATTCTGACATTTCACATTCTTAAAATAAAGTGGTGATCCTAAAACAGGGAATTTTTACTATGATTAAATGTCAGGAATTGTGAACAACGGAGTTTAAATGTATTTGGCTAAGGTGTATGTAAACTTCTGACTTCAACTGTAGCAATTCAGATACATTGTTAAGAGCACATGAGGTAGCAGAGGGAGGGCGATACACTCCTACTAGTGTCAGCTGGTTATTATGACCAAGGCCCACATTAAGAACGAGACAATCAAAACGTTAGGGACAGAGGTAGCAAGAGATACAGAAACATAAAAATGGTCTTTTGTAAATATGCAACACCCGCAGCTCTGCCAATTCTATCTGATCTGTAAACATTATAACCAGACAGAGACACATCAGCAAGTTTCAGAAATTACCAGAATGTCCACGTTGGATTGAGAAGCCAGAATTTCAATAAATTCCACCTTTGAAATCAAACTTCTTGCATTTACATGAACAAATCCAAGACCGCAGCTGCGGGATTTACAAGCATGCTATGAGCAGTAGGTAACCCCTTATTTGAAAATTCCATAGGATTGGTTTGAATTGGTATAGGTACAAGATTGTTTAGAACTGAACCATTGGGTCTATGCGTCGAGCGAGGACGTGGATTAAAACAAGAGTCAATGAGGGTTACCTGTTGCGGGCCTGCAGTATGATGATAATGCTGATCATTTATTCTTGGGATTACCTGAGCCTGATTTGGAGTGGTGAGCGGGTCTTGGAAAAATAATATACTGTATTGTTGATTGTATCTTTGCCCTAGTATCATTGTAATGGTATCCAACAATGTATCTTCATTTAGAGAACCAGCATATACAACTATACTAACTGTATAGTATGAAGTATATTATTTTTGAACAGATGGAATGCCACTACAGTTAGCGCTCTTTTAAAATAATTTCCAATGCAAAGACTGGGTAACAAAGACAGCTCTTGCCATAGAACATGTTGGTTAATTAAGTTTGTTGACTGGTTCAGGAAATTCAGTTGACAGTGGACTTCTATTCTTCTCCCCTACAGAAAAGATAACCTTCAAGAACGCCCCTTCCCCACAGGAGTTCAATGAAGGGGATGACGCTGACATCATCTGTGACGTCGTCAGCTCGCCTCCCGCTGACATCATCTGGAAGCACAAAGGCTCAAAGATCCAGGTTGCAAAAGACGGTAAGGCTTGTACACAATTCGATGTGCCAATGTGTGGGTTGCCTACTACCTGAGTCGTGCAGCCCCCCGAGTGGGATGCTGCCTGAAGGATTTTGTTTCTCTCCGGATTGCACTATTTTAACCTTAGAGGACCCCTCCCTCTTGCAACCACTGGGAAGCTAAGGGTGACCGCAGCGCTCTGGTGTGTGGCGTTTTCTTGGACCCTGGACAAGGATTGCGTTTTTCACTGGAAAACCCAGATTGTAGCCCAGATTGAAACCCATACTGCTTGTGTAAATACCATTGCTCCAATTAACCTTTTCCATATCAAAGCTGCATGTGCTTATAGCTCAAATTACAAGTCTTTTTCATGCTAATATGTGTTTCACAGCTCAGAGAGCTATTTAAAAAGTCTGGTTAATGAATTCAAAGCTTTTGCCCAAATACACATTCAGTAAACCAGATACACATCTGGCACCGCTTCAGAAGAGGGTTAACAGAACACAGTTGCCATACAATATTTCTACGCAGGCTGCCAGATGTTTGAACTTAGAGGGTTCATAGAATATTTACATAGTAGAGCTTTGATGACGCAATTCAAGAAGTAGTAGTAGTAGTTGCTTTGAGCATCTGTATTTTTACATGACCATGTTCTACCACATTTACTACAGTATAGATATAAAGGATATAGAATAAGACACGTATACAATGCTGTTAGAAGCACCATGCCATGGCAATGCTCTGTTGAGCAATGTAAAGAAATATCACAGTGAATAGTATGGCACTTCTAAATAAACATTGAACATATGTAAATAAACATTATTCCAGTTGATGGATGGTAGAGCTTTCTTTTGATGAGTCTATGCCACTAATATTACAGATCAATCTATTTCTGGTGGTGAGTTATGTACCTTATGATATGGTCCTATTTGAAAAAGGTATGTTCTCTCCACCCCTCCTTATGTTTCCTAGTTCCAGCTACCAGAAATAACTCATGCTCTATTTTTACATTGTTAGCTATATTGCTGCTGGGATGGGGGAACTACAGCATTCCTCTGTAACTCAGACCATGCCTCCTGAAGTCGCACTGTATGTGTGCTTTTCCCATGTTGCCTTGTCTTAAACCTACACCACCCACTGTTAATGATAAATAACACTTCTCTGTTTTCTTTTCTTGCGGTATTTCATAGTTCGTTTTAAGATCCTGACCAACAACCACCTCCAGATCCGAGGCATCAAGAAAACAGATGAAGGGGCGTACACCTGTGAGGCTCGTGTTATGACCAGGGGAGAGATTGACCTGAAGATCATTAAGGTCATCATCAACGGTGAGTACCACATCCTCCCTCTCACCCTACCCCCTCTTACTCCGCCTACGCTCTCGCCCTGGGATTTGTATCCGAGCACACTTGGAATATAGTGTCGTTATAGATCCAATACTGTGCTATTATGAACACCATTACAGAGTTACGACAGAGAAAACAAGCCTGTATCAAGCCTAGAGAAACATTAATTTACCCTATCATACTTAAAGTCAGCCAGTATAGTGCATCATGATCTAATTATAAATTTTAAGACTTGTTAGAAGCATATACAGTGCATTCGGAAAGTATTCAGACCCCTTTACTTTTTCCACATTTTGTTATGTTACAGTCTTATTCTAAAATTGAATAAGTAAATACAAAATCCTCATCAATCGACACACAATACCCCATAATGACAAAGCGAAAACAGATTTTTATACATTTAAAAAATATATATAATAATAATAATATTCAGACCCTTTGCTATGAGACTCGAAATTGAGCTCAGGTGCATCCTGTTTCCATTGATCATCCTTGAGATGTTTCTACAACTTAATTGGAGTCCACCTGTGGTAAATTCAATTGATTGGACATGAGTAGGAAAGGCACACACCTGTCTATATATGGTCCCACAGTTCACAGTGCATGTCAGAGCAAAAACCAAGCCTTGAGGTCGAAGGAATTGTCCGTAGAGCTCAGAGACAGGATTGTGTCGAGGCACAGATCTGGGGAAGGGTACCAAAAATGTTTTCAGCATTGAAGGTCCCCAAGAACACAGTGGCCTCCATCATTCTTAAATGGAAGAATTTTGGAACCACCAAGACTCTTCCTAGAGCTGGCCGCCCGGCCAAACTGAGCAATTGGGGGAGAAGGGCCTTGGTCAGGGAGGTGACCAAGAACCCGATGGTCACTCTGACAGAGCTCCAGAGTTCCTCTGTGGAGATGAGAGAACCTTCCAGAAGGACAACCATCTCTGCAGCACTCCACCAATCAGGCCTTTATGGTAGAGTGGCCAGACGGAAGCTGCTCCTCAGTAAAAGGCACATGACAGCCCGCTTGGAGTTTTCCAAAAGGCACCTCAAGGACTCTCAGACCATGAGAAACATGATTATCTGATTGAACTCTTTGGCCTGAATGCCAAGGTTCACGTTTGGAGGAAACCTGGCACCATCCCTACAGTGAAGCATGGTGGTGGCAGCATCATCCTGTGGGGATGTATTTCAGCGGCAGGGACTGGGAGACTAATCAGGATCGTGGGAAAGATGAACGGAGCAAAGTACAGAGAGATCCTTGATGAAAACCTGCTTCAGAGCGCTCAGGACCTCAGACTGGGGCAAAGGTTCACCTTCCAACAGGACAACGACCCTAAACACACAGCCAAGACAATGCAGGAGTGGCTTCTGGATAATTCTCTGAATGTCCTTGAGTGGCCCAGCCAGAGCCCGGACTTGAACCTGATCGAACATCTCTGGAGAGACCTGAAAATAGCTGTGCAGCGATGCTCCCCATCCAACCTGACAGAGCTTGAGAGGATCTGCAGAGAAGAATGGGAGAAACTCCCCAAATTCAGGTGTGCCAAGCTTGTAGTGTCATACCCAAGAAGACTCAAGGCTGTAATAGCTGCAAAAAGGTGCTTCAACAAAGTACTTTGTAAAGGTCTGAATACTTACAGTGGGGGAAAAAAGTATTTAGTCAGCCACCAATTGTGCAAGTTCTCCCACTTAAAAAGATGAGAGAGGCCTGTAATTTTCATCATAGGTACACGTCAACTATGACAGACAAATTGAGAAAAATAAACCATAAAATCACATTGTAGGATTTTTTATGAATTTATTTGCAAATTATAGTGGAAAATAAGTATTTGGTCACCTACAAACAAGCAAAGATTTCTGGCTCTCACAGACCTGTAACTTCTTCTTTAAGAGGCTCCTCTGTCCTCCACTCGTTACCTGTATTAATGGCACCTGTTTGAACTTGTTATCAGTATAAAAGACACCTGTCCACAACCTCAAACAGTCACACTCCAAACTCCACTATGGCCAAGACCAAATAGCTGTCAAAGGACACCAGAAACAAAATTGTAGACCTGCACCAGGCTGGGAAGACTGAATCTGCAATAGGTAAGCAGCTTGGTTTGAATAAATCAACTTTGGGAGCAATTATTAGGAAATGGAAGACATACAAGACCACTGATAATCTCCCTCGATCTGGGGCTCCACGCAAGATCTCACCCCGTGGGGTCAAAATGATCACAAGAACGGTGAGCAAAAATCCCAAACCACACGGGGGGACCTAGTGAATGACCTGCAGAGAGCTGGGACCAAAGTAACAAAGCCTACCATCAGTAACACACTACGCCGCCAGGGACTCAAATCCTGCAGTGCCAGACGTGTCCCCCTGCTTTAGCCAGTACATGTCCAGGCCCGTATGAAGTTTGCTAGAGTGCATTTGGATGATCCAGAAGAGGATTGGGAGAATGTCATATGGTCAGATGAAACCAAAATAGAACTTTTTGGTAAAAACTCAACTCGTCGTGTTTGGAGGACAAAGAATGCTGAGTTGCATCCAAAGAACACCATACCTACTGTGAAGCATGGGGGTGGAAACATCATGCTTTGGGGCTGTTTTTCTGCAAAGGGACCAGGACGACTGATCCGTGTAAAGGAAAGAATGAATGGGGCCATGTATCGTGAGATTTTGAGTGAAAACCTCCTTTCATCAGCAAGGGCATTGAAGATGAAACGTGGCTGGGTCTTTCAGCATGACAATGATCCCAAACACACGGGCCCGGGCAACGAAGGAGTGGCTTCGTAAGAAGCATTTCAAGGTCCTGGAGTGGCCTAGCCAGTCTCCAGATCTCAACCCCATAGAAAATCTTTTGAGGGAGTTGAAAGTCCGTGTTGCCCAGCGACAGCCTCAAAACATCACTGCTCTAGAGGAGATCTGCATGGAGGAATGGGCCAAAATACCAGCAACAGTGTGTGAAAACCTTGTGAAGACTTACAGAAAAAGTTTGACCTGTGTCATTGCCAACAAAGGGTATATAACAAAGGGTGGCTGACTAAATATTTTTTTCCCCACTATATGTAAATGTGATATTTTTAGTTTTTTGTCATTATGGGGTATTGTGTGTAGATTGATGAGGGAAAAAAACTATTTAATCCATTTCTGAGTAAGGCTGTAACGTAACAAAATGTGGAAAAAGTCTAGGGTCTGAATACTTTCTGAATGCACTGTAACACCCTTAGAATGTCTTATTGTCTTAGTATCATCTTAGTATAATTGATTTCGTACTCACGTATGACCTCTGTATCTTTGAATAATGCTTGTATCCATGTCTGTGTGTGTTTCAGTGCTCCCTAGCATCCGCACCAGGCAGTCGGAGGTGAATGCCACGGCGGACATCAACCAGTCTGTGATGCTGGCCTGTGACGCTGACGGCTTCCCTGAACCCACAGTCACCTGGGCCCGGTACGTCACACCGACCACCTTGTCTTTAATGAGCGTAAACAAAGTGGCTTGTTGTGGCTAGTTGGGGAGGTTGAAGTGAATAAGGCTAGTTTTTTGGGGTTTTTTGGTAAACATTCTCATTATAAAAGAGGATGGGTCAACAGTATTGAATTATATTTCTCTAGTACCTTGAGGATGGCAAAAGCTCATTTGTTTGATATATCCTCAGCATAGGCCCTCTAGTATAGTATGAGAATAATTCCAACACTACAAAGTTACTGTAGTGCTTCTCTAGCTGCTCTTGGAGTGTAAACAAATGAGAAGGATAGGAGGATGAGGAGACTCATCCGATTAGGGCTAGGCCTCGCCAGAGGAGGAAGGAGACAAGCGGGGCAGGGTGAATGGAGGGGGTAGGAGGGGGGCCAGAAGCTCCTACCATTTGTTATTTATTTCCTGGCCCGTTGACAGGCCTGTCATTTGGTATCCCTTAGAGGCTGCTTCAGGATTGAATCTCCTAGAAGCATACAGATGTGGGACCGCAGTCCAAACCCAGTGTGTGCACATCTGATTTAGAGTTCAAGGGAGGCTCAGACATGTCACGGATCAAAGAGAGTGCTCGTTCAAGAGTGCCGAAGAAATTCCTCAACATCATACAGTGTACCACCATCCTATGGACGTAGTCCCTTTGTAAAACAGCCATGATGCAGCTATGTTAACAAAGCAGAGCCAGAGAAACAAAGAAAAAAGCTGTCTGTATGATTTCTGTCCTGGATGTCTGGTCGGTAGCTCTAAAGACATTGGTTTTATGGTTCTGAGCCAGGCCTTTTGTTTACCAGCTGCTCTACTTTGAGATACGGCCCCCAAAAAGATCATCTCACAGAATTAAGACGACAATTTTTACCTTCATGTTGTGGAGACAGACGTCAGTGATATGCATTCTGTTTCTGCCTTTCCCCCCTCAGTAAAAGCATTGTCCTTGAATCGGACGATAAGTATGGCCTGAACGACGACGGCTCGGAGCTGATAATAAAGGATGTCAAGAAAGTGGATGAAGGAGATTACACATGCATCGCCCGGAACAAGGCTGGGGAGAAAGAGGAGGAAGTCAGCTTGAATGTGTTTAGTAAGAGCAAAATTATTCCCATTAACTGTGGTAAAAGAACGTTGTGTTTTTGGGCTTTAGAATTGTTTTTATTGGTTTTACTATAGCAGTGTGCATACAAGCAATGTATTCCATTGGCATCCATCAATGTATTGTATTTTTGCCTTCTCTAGTGCAACCTAAGATCACCTACCTGGTCAACCAGACTGCATCAGAGCTGGAGGAGCAGATCACCCTGACCTGCGAGGCCTCCGGAGACCCCACCCCAACCATCACCTGGAGCTTTGGCAGCAGGGTCTTCACAGAGAGAGAGCAGGTACTGGTGTCTGGGGACCAGGGGAGGCATGCAACCAGGGGCCCGAGCTGTGGTGGATAGGGTGTGTCATTCAGAGTGCCAACTACCGACCGATCAATCACTGTTCTGAATATTGATATGAAACCTAAAAAGCGAGCACAGCTCTATTTCATTCATGGCATTATATCAAACGCCCTTCAAAATTCAATTGAGCAAGTCCAACAGTAATGTACTAATCTGTCCTGGTGGTTTCATGCATTGGTTTCTCCTTCTACAGGAGCCTCTAAACAGGATTTACCAGGTATGATATTCAGATGGTCAGGTAATGAAACTCAATAGAAGTGTATAGGAGATGTTGTGCCCACTGTGACTATTAAAACCTACCCTAATGTGACGAGGTGTGAATGAAGGAGTCAGGCGCAGGAGGTAAAACACCGAAGTCCAGAGTTTATTTAGTTCACATAACCCAGCGTAGAAACGAAACTATAACAAGGGAAAATATTCCACCTTGGCAACTACAAATGGAAGAGTAGCTCTCTCACAATAAACAATCACTCACAAAGACAAGGGGAACAGAGGGAACACTTATACACATACTAATTAGGAGAATGAGCACCAGGTGTGTGTGATTGACAAGACAAGACATGACAAGTGGAGTGATGAGAATGGGATCGGCAGTAGCTAGTCATCTGGTGGCGATGAACGCCGAAACCTGCCCGAACAAGGAGGGGAGGCAGCCTCGGCAGAAGTCGTGACACCTAACCAGAAACCGAGGATAGATGGCAGCATTCGCGCAAAACTGAAAGCACGAACCACCGCATTTAACCATGGCAAGGTGACTGGGAATATGGCAGAATACAAACAGTGTAGCTACTCACTCCGCAAGGCAATTAAACTGGCAAAACATCAGTATAGAGACAAAGTGGAGTCACAATTCAACGGCTCAGACACGAGACGTATGTGACAGGGTCTACAGACAATCACGGACTACAAAAAGAAAACCAGCCACAAGATACACACCTTCTTCACCCGCTTTGAGGATAACACAGTGCCACCGACGCGGCCCACTACCAAGGACTGTGGGCTCTCCTTCTTTGTGGCCGACGTGAGTAAGACATTTAAGCATGTCAACCCCCGCAAGGCTGCCGGCCCAGACAGCATCCCTAGCCGTGTCCTCAGAGCATGCGCAGACCAGCTGGCTGGTGTGTTTACGGACATATTAAATCTCTGCCTATCCCAGTCTGCTGTCCCCACATGGTTCAAGATGGCCACCATTGTTCCTGTACCCAAGAAAGCAAAGGTAACTGAACTAAATGACTATCGCCCCGTAGCACTCACCTCTGTCATCATAAAGTGCTTTGACAGAATAGTCAAGGATCATATCACCTCTACGTTACCTGTCACCCTAGACCGACTTCAATTTGCTTACCGCCCCAATAGAGCCACAGACGATGCAATTGCCATCACACTGCAGACTACCCTATCCCATCTGGACAAGAGGAATACCTATGTAAGAATGCTGTTCATTGACTATAGCTCAGCATTCAACACCATAGTACCCTCCAAGCTCAACATTAAGCTTGAGGCCCTGGGTCTGAACCCCGCCCTGTGCAACTGGGTCCTGGACTTCCTGACGGGCCGCCCCCAGGTGGTGAAGGTTGGAAACAACATCTCCACTTCGCTGATCCTCAACACTGGGGCCCCACAAGGGTGTGTGTTCAGCCCCCTCTTGTACTCCCTGTTCAACCATGACTGCGTGGCCAAGCACGCCTCCAACTCAATCATCAAGTTTGCATCAAGACCCAACAGTAGTAGGCTTGATTACCAACAATGACGAGACAGCATACAGGGAGGAGGTGAGTGCTCTGGGAGTGTGGTGCCAGGAAAATAACCTCTCACTCAACGTCAACAAAACAAAGGAGATGATCGTGGACTTCATGAAATAGCAGAGGGTGCACCCCCCTATCCACATCGACAGGACCGCAGTGGAGAAGGTGGAAAGCTTCAAGTTCCATGGCGTACACATCACTGACAAACTGAAATGGTCCACCCACGCAGACAGTGTGGTGAAGAAGGTGCAACAGAGCCTCTTCAACCTCAGGAGGCTGAAGAAATTTGGCTTGGCACCTAAAACCCTCACAAACTTTAATAGATGCACAATTGAGAGCATCCTGTCGGCCTGTATCACCGCCTGATACGGCAACTGCACCGCCCGCAACCGCAGGGCTCTCCAGAGGGTGGTGCGGTCTGCCGAACGCATTACCGGGGCAAACTACCCACCATCCAGGACACCTACAGCACCCGATGTCACAGGAAGGCCAAAAAGACATCAAGGACATCAACCACCTGAGCCACTGCCCTGTTCACCCCTCTATCATCCAGAAGGCGAGGTCGTTTTTCAACCATTCCTCAATTTTCATGCTAACAAAATAAAAAATATAGAAAAGTATAAAAAGTTTCGTTTTGGCAAGTCAGTTAGGACATCTACTTTGTGCATGACACAAGTAATTTTTCCAACAATTGTTTACACTTTCACTTATAATTCACTGTATCACAATTCCAGTGGGTCAGAAGTTTACATACACTAAGTTGACTGTGCCTTTAAACAGCTTGGAAAATTTCAGAAAATGATGTCATGGCTTTGACTCATTTGAGTCAATTGGAAGTGTACCTGTGGATGTATTTCAAGGCCTACCTTCAAACTCAGTGCCTCTTTGCTTGACATCATGGGAAAATCAAAAGAAATCAGCCAAGACCTCAGAAAAACAATTGTATACCTCCACAAGTCTGGTTCATCCTTGGGAGCAATTTCCAAACGCCTGAAGGTACCACGTTTATCTGTACAAACAATAGTACGCAAGTATAAACACCATGGGACCACGCAGCCGTCAAACGGCTCAGGAAGAAGATGTGTTCTGTCTCCTAGAGATGAACGTACTTTGGTGCGAAAAGTGCAAATAAATCCCAGAACAACAGCAAAGGACCTTGTGAAGATGCTGGAGGGAACAGGTACAAAAGTATCTATATCCACAGTAAAAACGAGTCCTATATCGACATAACCTGAAAGGCCGCTCAGCAAGGAAGAAGCCACTGCTCCAAAACCGCCATAAAAAAGCCAGACTATGGTTTGCAACTGCACATGGGGACAAAGATCGTACTTTTTGTAGAAATGTCCTCTGGTCTGATTAAACAAAAATATAACTGTTTGGCCATAATGACCATCATTATGTTTGGAGGAAAAAGGGGGTTGCTTGCAAGCCGAAGAACACCCTCCCAACCGTGAAGCACGGGGGTGGCAGCATCATGCTGTGGGGTTGCTTTGCTGCAGGAGGGACTGGTGCACTTCACAAAATAGATGGCATCATGAGGAAGGAAAATGATGTGGATATATTGAAGCAACATCTCAAGACATCAGTCAGGAAGTTAAAGCTTGGTCGCAAATGGGTCTTCCAAATGGACAATGACCCCAAGCATACTTCCAAAGTTGTGGCAAAATGGCTTAAGGACAACAAAGTCAAGGTATTGGAGTGGCCATAACAAAGCCCTGACCTCAATCCTATAGAAAATGTGTGGGCAGAACTGAAAAGGCGTGTGCGAGCAAGGAGGCCTACAAACCTGACTCAGTTACACCAGCTGTGTCAGGAGGAATGGGCCAAAATTCACCCAACTTATTGTGGGAATCTTGTGGAAGGCTACCCGAAACGTTTGACCCAAGTTAAACAATTTAAAGGCAATGCTACCAAATACTAATTGAGTGTATGTAAACTGCTGACCCACTGGGAATGTGGTGAAATAAATAAAAGCTGAAATAAATCATTCTCTCTACTATTATTCTGACATTTCACATTCTTCAAATAAAGTGGTGATCCTAACTGACCTAAAACAGGGAATTTTTACTAGGATTAAATGTCAGGAATTGTGAAAAACTGAGTTTAAATGTATTTGGCTAAGGTGTATGTAAAGGCCCATTATCGCCTCTTCACTGTTGACGTTGAGACTGGTGTTTTGCGGGTACTATTTAATGAAGCTACCAGTTGAGGACCTGTGAAGCGTCTGTTTCTCAAACTCGACACACTAATGTATTTGTCCTCTTGCTCAGTTGTGCACCGGGGCCTCCCACTCCTCTTTCTATTCTGGTTAGAGCCAATTGCTTTTCTTTCGAAAACAAGGACATTTCTAAGTGACCCCAAACTTTTGAACGGTAGTGTATGTTGGGTTGTTGTGATTATAAACTGTACAGTATATCCACCCAGATTTTATTGAAAAAATCCTGATTGAATCAAACAAATGCAAATCCGGTCATCCACTCAAATTTTCCTGTAACTTTTTGACCCCTTAACTTCTGATCTTATCAGGGTTCGGTAGTTTGATGATGCTGTTTGCATAGTCACTGTGAATACATAGATTGCACTCAAATCCCCCCCCCCCCCCCACCCCACCTCTTGTGGTGCAGTTCACATTTTGGGTATGAAAACCAAGCTTTTGATTTGTCTTTGCCCCACACAAAGAAAGTATTTTCACCACCACGTCTGAACCAGTGTTAATTTTGAGGCACGCGTTTCAGGGCATGGTCCTATCTGTCGTTCCACCGGAATGCTGTCATTTCCCTTTCCAACCAGCCATTCCAAGTCATTGCTTTATTCAAACAATGAAAGAAATGTAGCAGTGATCGCTAATCCCCAGGTGCAGGTGCATCTCAAAGCATATTTAAGGTAATTAGCAATTCCGCAGAAATTGCTTTCCATCCTTTCATGTTTTCTCATCCAAACACAGTCAAGCAATATCCATCGACAACTGCTAACAGCTCTTATCAATATTCAGTCATGGTGAGAAACTATTTACCCACTCTACACGGTCACTTTTAATCTCACTTTCACACTATTCGTCTGCTTTGCTCTTTTTTCTCTGTCGATCTCTCTCTTACTAGAACAAAGTCTTACCAAATCCCCCTGCAATTACTTTAGCCTCTTTGCACCTTTGCAGTTCCTCTCTGTGTTGCTAACAGCACTCTTAGTAATCATTAGCACTTCATAAGGGGGCTATGTGGGCCATGGAAGGATTGAGGCAGAAGGCATTTTATA